GGATACTCGCCATAGTGAGTGGGTTGGAAGACACCTTCTCCACATCCAACCACAGGCCCGGAACGACTATGAAGATCGTAGGCGGCAGACGGCAGGACTGGGTCGGAGGGATTGGGGGCTTGCACAATGCTTTCTACGGCGCGTTCCAGGTTCCAAGTAACAGGTGTTAACGAAACGCTTCCACGATCGGCGACATCCAGAGTGCTGACATTTGAACCGACATCAGGCACCTAAAGTTCAAAAAGTGTTTATACTTGCCTGACATAGCAAGCTGGAAGACCCCCGATCCACATCTAAGCTCAGGGTTGGGACGACATTGATGAACACTGGCTGACTGAGTTAGAGGAACCAAGGGCTTCCAAAATGCTTTTTACTCTGTGTCCCGTCCCCGGTTGAGAAGTCCTATCGTCCGTTGCTACGGTGCGTCCAAGTATCCATTCCAGCTGAACAGAAGCTGATTATTTGTTGATTTAAGGTGAACGAAGCTGATTAACACCAGGCTGAATATGTAGTTGCATTTATAGGATAAAGCGTATTGTATCCCCATAATTCGACCTCAATAAGATAGCTGATCTAAAGACTGAACTAGACTTATTTAAGCTTAAAACTAATCCACAAATCAGCAATGCTTTACAAATATGTTAATAGCATGACAGAAGAATAGGAATCGATTGCACAATATTGTTAAATGTCGTCAGTGTTACGCGTTGCATTTTTTGTATTTAAGTTCTTCTAAATTCATTGCCTACCTTTCTTACTCCAAGCAGCGCCAGCAGTAGAGCCAAGGAAGAAGAGCTTTTAAGAAATAGGGGAAATGTATGTAATGTCAGCCTAAGTGTCCCCAATTTGGACCCATACATAAATTCAGCATTTTTAGCGATGGGCCCAATCTTAGATCCATAGGCCAACATTAGAGTCCTGATGAATGTGGGCGTCTTAGTGGAATACCTGTATAATGAGAGAGAGAAGGATTAGTATTTTCCATTTAATTCCACTACTTTATTTGCTTATCCTTGACAGATACGCGTATTTCGTCTACAATGTGCAGACTTCTTCAGTGTCTTGTACTAATACTCGACTGAAGAAAAACATCGCATTTACCGAATATATATTAACACAGGTACATTTTCACTTAGCTAGTTTCTAAGTGAAAATGTACCTGTGTTAATATATATTCGGTAAATGCGATGTTTTTCTTCAGTCGAGTATTAGTACAAGACACTGAAGAAGTCTGCACATTGTAGACGAAATACGCGTATCTGTCAAGGATAAGCAAATAAAGTAGTGGAATTAAATGGAAAATACTAATCCTTCTCTCTCTCATTATACAACATTAGAGCCATTTCCCCTATCTCGAGGTAGTAACGGACTGCGACGACGTCGGAAGTATTAACATTTGTGTTCCTGTGTTTTAACTTGTTTATATTCACTCACTGTACATAATTTTTGGACCACATTCCAAAAATCTAATCCAATTATCATACTGAAATAGAATAGCATTCTGATATTTAATTTCAGGAGAGTTACCGCTGAAAAATAAATTTATCTGGGTAATCATCATTATTAATAATACACCACCAGTAATAATACTATCTCTACATGTCTAAAATCACCAGTAAAATTGTATAAATTTGGCTTAAGAAATGTATAAAACAAAAAACTTCATGTGATATTCCGTTTTTTCATGCCATGTTATTTATTTGTTGATAGAAAGAGTACCACTGAGACATTTGAATGCAATATGCTGTTTGAGTAATTTATCCAGTCGGAATCTTATTTAAGTTGCATAATTTACTATGCTACATCAAATACAGAGCTACTAGTTCCTTTTAAGTTGAAATTAATGGCGTAATCTTCGCGCCAATGAGCCAATGAGTAGTAAAATACGATTCATTTTCCTGTTATTATGGCATTTATATTTGTTTGTATATTTCAAGTATGTTAGCCTAGTTGTTGTTCATCTTCGATATTTGTTTCGTTATTAATTGTTCTAAGTTGTTCAGTGCTTGTGTACCGCTCCGACCAGCTAACAGCATGATGTTTAATTTTTCGCTTCACCTTCCCTCTTCTGGCAGCACGTGTGTGTGTTGTTGTGCATGTCGATGATGCGTTATCAAATGAAACACTTCGCATCCACAGCCAGCCCCCACCAAGTTATTTACGGTTATGCTCGATTGCCGGTCATCTCTCCGGCTACAACAAGACTTTTGAGGTTCCCCGAGGGCTTTAGGCTTTGTGAAAAAATATGTACCGGATTAGAACGGTACTCTCTCTTTGGTATGTTTTTTTTTGTGTTGTTGCTGGGAGGCTGTCTCCTCCAAGCTGCCACTGACGCTGTTCGCTGATGATGGGCGAGCGAACGTAACGAGAAGAGTTTTGTTCGAATGCGAATAGGGAGATTGGCTGTTTGACTTTTCTTTTTCGAGTCCAGGACGACGGTGAAGGGTGGTGGTTGGATAATTTAAGTTTCAGCCCAACAACCGTGAGAGGAGTTGCCTCCATTATGCTGAGCTCAGGTAGGTACACTCAATTGCTTGTGAAGCGAATGCCGTATGCTATAAGGCGAAACATATGTTTATGACATTTTGATGTTCTCGTTTTTCAGAGTTTACCTTTTGGACTCTTTTTTTCGCCTGTTAGTGCTACGTGACGTTTGGGATATGGCTTTCTTTCGGTCGTCGTCGTCGTTGGTCTGTGTATGGTTGATGTTTGCACTGTTACTCGTGTTAAGTGCGGTGGGAGTGGGACAGGCATTTTTGCATTTAAGTAAAAGGCTTTCAACGAGAAGAATTATGTTATTCCGGCGCTACTGAACTGAACTGGGGTTTCGGGGTTGATTCGAAGTGAAAATTGAATTTAGATTTCTTCCGTATGTGTTTATGTGAACCCTTTCCGATGAAGATTGTAATCGGAGCGATAAGGTTTATTCAATGTTTTGGGAATAATAACTAATAACTTTTACCATATATATATTAACAATATGGTCCACTCTTTCGTTTTCTCGAGGACAGGATTTTCGGACAGCAAGAGCTCAAGAAAGGTAACTTATGTATTACAAAAACATTTCGAGGAATGCCTCTGTTAGACATTTTTTCCATCGCTTAGTAACTGTGCCAACGAGACTCGTTTCACTGGGCTGATTGTATTTACGATGTACGGTGCGGTGCCAAATGTTAAACCCATCGAAATAGAGTTCGATCCCCGGGGGCTATACACGTTCGAGTCCTGTTAGTCTTCCAGCTCGGCTACCAACCGCCACCAACTAGAGCTGGGTAGTAGCAGAGCCATCCTGGATCTCGATGCGAGTACGATTCTAATCGGATGGATTATTGGAAAACATTTTGCCATCTGCGAGACGACTGGAACAAGACCATCAGGCTTAACCCGATCGATTCCCGCAATCACCCATCCAAGTGGAGTCAACCCGAAGCATGGAGCCTTTGTCGGCAGAAACTAATTCCATTTCAGATGTGGCTACACTCACACATACGCCGTGTTTCAAGTTGGAAAAGGTGGTAAGTGTTGACACGGTACGTTGTTACGGAAAACAGCATCATGATGGGGTACAGCTGCAGGCATTGCAATCCCTTCTTCCTCCATTCTCAAATGTCCATTCTCTAAATAATTTTCCAATTTAGATCTGGAACTGCAGCGGTAGAAAATGGGGATGATTATCCGAGACCTAGTCATCAGTGAAAGACCGAAACGGTCCTGGAAGCGATGACCATGATGACGATTGGAACACGAGGACCACAGTTCAGGTCCCGTTCAATTACGGAATGGTAGCGTGTAAAATGCGAAAAATAATTGCATTTGTGTGACAACATAAGCGCCCATCGCAAGCGTTGCTTCTGCTGGGAGCGCTCTATTGATGATGCTAATTAATTGAATTAAGTTGTTTTCGGGTTCGAATGGGATTAAGTAACCACTCGGGATGTTACCGTTCTGTGTGCTGGTTCTCCTGAGGGGCAGTCAATGTGGCTGTCCAATTCGTGGTTAAGAACTACAGTTTTGTTACGTTTACTGTCGCTCTGTCGTTGCCATTTTCTGGTAAATTTACTCTCAAAATCAACAAAATGTTTAAACAGAACAGAAGGGGTTTGAATACATGATATGGATGTAGCTTATCAAAATCTATGTGAACATGCAGAATCCGGCTATTGAAGCGTAACAATGTTGAACAGTATATACCTACCTACTTGAATAGTGCTTCATAGAACAGAAATTAGCAGCTCAGTGGAAATATACTGTAATTATAATTTCTATTCGAAAACCATCAAATTGAATATCCTGTAAGCCAATACTGCGTAATATTAAGTTACAAACATTGGCTGCTCCAGGAAGACAATAGATGGGGGCTTGTGTCCACCCTATTGTGGACACTGAGGACAATTTTCATTTCATCGATGACAAACATCTTTCCGTGTCCAATATATTCTCATACACATTTTCATTTCGTTGTTGTCGTATAACTACAACACATACATTAACTTTGTATTGGTATTATTTTACCCTATATTACAAAAAAAAAAAAAAAAAAAAATGGGAGCTATGCCAATTTGTTTTCATGATGCGCTCATCTTTAATCGCCAATGAAACATTTTTTTGACGTGGTGATTAAAAATGTTCTTGAAAAGCGAGTGCTCGGGTGCCACTTTCAAAAAAATTAAAAACCTAGCAATAAAGCGTGTTGTTAGTTGTTAGTTCTTTATTAACGAGCTATGGCTAGTTCATCTCCGAAGAAAGAAGAGGGCTCAGAGTGAGTAACCTCTAGATACATGGTATATTAACATTTAGTTAATAACTTTGGTTGCTGGCTCTTCAACTTATATGAAAAAATAACAATATATAAAATAATGAAACAGAGGAACAACAGAAAACAACATGATTTAAGACAAGCTACAAACGATTAATCCAAACAAAACAGAGCTCAGCTGGCATGGGTCCAATAGGGGAAATCCATCCAGTTGAGATGTCCCGACGGCCGAAAGAAATTCCTGCTATACCAAGTGGTAGATTTTGACTTCTTTTAAGAGGGTTACTAGTGCTGCCGAGGCCGAAGTATCATTCCCGAGCAGATCGCTGATGCTGGAAGTTGGGCAGAGTGACTCCCGAAGATTTTGGAACTCCGGGCAGTTGCATAGGATGTGTTCGACGGTGTTGGGTACCCCACAGATGATGCAGCTTCTGCGGAACGGCAGGCCACCATAGTTATAGTAGAGTTTAGTGTGCCCGGTTCGAAGCCGCGAAATCACGCGTTGATCCCTCAGGTTGTCCAGTTCTCTCCATGGTTCAGTTGACCCTTTTACTTTGCGGATGAAAGCAGTTCTGTTGCGGAACCACTCAGCTTCCCATGCCGCTCGAATGGTCCGCATAATCCACCGTCTGACGTCCTGTAGGGGTACCTTGTTGGTGAGTCTGGGACCCGATGTCCCGGCTCCGGCAAGGTGATCAGCAGACTCGTTACCTGGCACTCCGCAGTGTCCGGGAATCCATGTGTACACGGTGTTCGGTGGGGCGTACTTGATAATCGCCTGGATCCATGGGTGTTTTGGTGCTTCCGAGGTGATCGCTTGAACGACGCTGTGTGAGTCGGTTAATATAAGTATCGATTTGTTGGCTGGCGTCGTAGCGGCACGGAAGATCGCTGCAGCCTCGGCCGAGAAAACCGAGCATTGTGGAGGAAGACTGCTGCTTTCAGCAATACCGTCTCCAAAAATCCCGATACCTACTCCGTTTATCGATCGGGAGCCGTCGGTGTACCGATGTACGTGGTCGGCATAGTTGGACCCAAGTAACTCGGCGACCGATCTGCGCAAAATGATGGATGCATCCCTTGCTTTGAAGTGGTTCTTGATCCGATTGTCCAATTGGATTCGTGAAGAGTGCCAACTTTTCTCTCCATGCCAATGGACTTTGGCCACTGGGGGTAGGTCGATGTTGGCGGCCGTGCGGAGGACTCTGTTCCCCTCGTCGAGGAGAAAGATCCTATTGTTTCCGGAGGTCTTGGCGGAAAAGGCAGCGGCTTTTGTGGCAATATTTGCGTTTAAGCAGAACCGGAAAGGAAGAAGACCCGCTTCGATGCATGCGGCGTCTGCTGGAGTGGATGGCAGGAGACCAGATATTATGCGGATGTAGCTGTTGTAGAATGGTGCTAGGGTTCTAACCAGCTTCTCGGAAGCGATGCAAGTAATTTCCGTCTTGTAAAGCAACGTACTGTCGATGATGGCTCGTGCCACCCGGAACCGAACATCGCGGTTGTTGGATCGGTGAGGCCGAGAGATCGTTTTAACGAGGTTGAGTCTACTGCGGTTGTCCTTTTTGACCTGTTGGAAATGTTGGTCGAAGGAGAGCGTTCGGTCGATCAGTACGCCGAGGACGCGAACTGTTTTCCTGTTTGGAATGGCTTGCTCGTGGATCGTAATTGGGGTGCTATTGACTCGGTGCTGAGACGGAAATACGTGGCATCGGATGCTCTTCCTGGCGGATAGCTGGAAACCCATCGAGTCGGTCCATTTGACGACGGCAGAGACTGCCGCTTGCGCTTGCCGTAGGGTTCGGATCTGTGTACCGGAGGCCACAATCAGCACATCGTCAGCGTAAACAAATATATAAATGCGCTCAGGTAGCCGGTCAAATACCCCGTTCATTGCCACCAGAAACAACGTGACTGCGATAACGGAGCCTTGATGGACTCTGGTCTCCTTGCTGAAACTTTTCGACCGCGTGTTCCCCACCAATACACGAAATGACCGGTCGGTCAAGAAGTTTCGTATGAAATACATCATATGCCCCTTCAAGCCTCAGTTTGTTAGTTTTTTCAGGACTGCTGGCGTCCTCGTCCGGTTGAAAGCCTTGGAGATGTCGAAAGAGATGATTTCAACGTGGTGTTCCTGGTCGTAAGCTTCCTTGAGCACGTCCCCCAGAGTGGCAAAGTACGTGGACGTACCGAAACCTTGTCGAAAGGCATGTTGTCGGTGGTCGAGCAAGCTGTTGGTCTCAAGGAACATCTTGAGTCGACGGTTCACCGTCCGTTCGAATACCTTGGCCATGCAGGATGTGAGAGCGATCGGTCGGAACTTAGATGTGACTCTGTCTTTTTCGTTTGCCTTCGGGATGGGCACGACGAGACTCTCCTTCCACAGCGTCGGGTAGGTATCAGAGACCCAGAGTTGGTTCAGCATCTCAACACTTGCCCAAGGGGCAGCTTTTTTAAAAGTGGATACCCGAGATCGTCAGGTCCCGCAGATTTGCCGTTGCTGCGGCTTAGTGCGTGCTGGAGTTCCTCCCAGGAGAAAGGCTCGTTGATCTCGAGGTTGTCCGTGTCAGGCGGGATGCTGAACTCAGAGACTGATGTACGGGTAGGCTTTGCCAACCGCTGAAAGTGGCTATCGTAACCGGAGATGGCCGAAATTTCGGCGAAATACCCTCCGAGTTCTTCGGCGACGGCTGCCGGTTCGGAGATGGTAACTCCGTTAGCTTGTACATGTAATGGCGTCGAGTGCCATTTACCGCTGAGAACATTAACCCTGCTACAGAGATCGGCAGAGGACTGGGAGGCGTTGATGCTTTCAAGGAAACCAGACCAACTGTTTAGCTTCGCACTTCTCACTTCTTTTCTGTATTGAATATGCAGTGCACGGTACCGGGTTAGTAGCTCTTCCCTGTTTGGGTCATCTCTCGGGGTTCGCCTGAGTTTCCGTGGAGCTTTCCGGCGGGCTTTAACGGCTTTTTTGGTGTCTTCGCTCCACTAACGGAGAGCTTTTCGTCCAGGTAGGCTACTGGTCTTTGCTATGGTAGCGGATGCAGCATCTAACACCAACTTAGAAAAATCCGGGATGGTTAGCGGATTGCGTTCGAGTATCAGCGACAGAATTGTCCCCTGATACCCATTCCAGTCAGCCTCGTCGTACCGCCAGCGAGGCCTTTTCGTGACTTCTGGGGCCGTGGCTGACGAAAGCTGCATTTGGATGGGGTAATGATCACTTCTGTACAAATCCGAATTGGTGCACCACGTGACTTTTCCTGCTATGGAACGGCTGATCGAAGAGACGTCGATAGTCGTGGCGTGACGTCCGTTGAAGAATGTTGGGTTTCCATGGTTGAGCACCGCCATGCCTTCCTGATCGAGTAGGTCCATTAGGATGCTTTCTCTAGGATCCGGACGAGGACAGCCCCAAGTTGGATGATACCCATTGAGGTCTCCGACAAACATCCTTGGTTCGGGTAGCTTGCTGAAAACGCCGGTGATTTTATTTGACAGATTTTGTAGCAATGTTCTCCCACATGGCAGGTATGCACAGGCAATCGCAATGTTTGCCGGCTTCTCCAATTGAACAGCAACTATGGGAAGATCAGTTCCCAGGTCAATCTCGTTAAAAGGTATGCTCCTTAGAACACCAATGGCTACGGAGTGGCGAAAATTGCTGCCTCTTTTGAGGGTCCAGGCGTATTTTCCGGAAAGGGAACGATCCATCTGGTCTACCGTCACCTTGTTAACTTCTTGGAGAGCTATCACCCATGGTGGATTGCTGTGGCAAAGCATCTCCGAGTCGCCGAGGTGGTTCAGGAAACCGTTCACGTTCCACTGGAGGATAAAGTTGATGGGTACTGGCAGAGCAGGAACGGGGTGTCTGCTGGTGGTAACGTCCTCGGAGGGACAGCTCAAGTCTTCCAACTCGCTGATATCAAACAAGTGGGAGGCTTGCGTCTGACTAGAGTTGCTGCTTGACAGTTCGCTGTGTCCAGAATAAGACAGAGCCCCACCAGAGGCAGGCGGAGGGAATCCGCCCACCCAGGGTAGGGATGTCCCAACGGTGGTGTTATCAAAGATGGTGTTATGCGTGTGGACGATGCTGGTTGGCCTCGGTAAGTTGTCCGAATTCGGTCAATAAAGCGTGATTCTGTCTATTGGACCATCAGAAGGTACCATGACACTTCCTCGTTGGATGACTGGCCAAGCACGTTCAGTGGGGAGAGAACGAGTTATTGAAATAGCTGGAAAAAGGATTTTACGGAAATCTCAGCGCTCTGTATGTAAAATGGCTGATGATTTTAATATCTAGAAATCGTTCTTGCACAATGTCCTTGCTCGCATCAATAAAGAACATTTTTTTTTTGCAGCAGTCAATTTGTAGACAACAGCTCAAAACTAAAATATATATTATGATTTAGCTACCGCACTTTTCATACTTTTTCCTACCTACATCAATAGTTTTCCCTTGAAATAATGTTACCAGTGCTCTCTACACCTGTAACAGTTTTCATGTCCACTTTTATGTTAATTTTATCAATATAACCTTTATCTCTAATGTTCACCCACTTTTTCCTCTATCTAATTCACTGTATTTAGCTACTTTTACTAAATTAAACTAATCAAATTTAATAATTTCCACATCCAGAATCACTTTTCTCCGAATCAATATATTAATGTTTTTATTCTGTTTTCCTCTTCGTTTCTATTCAGCTGCTGTTGACAGCTACACTCAGGTCCACATTCTCCCTCTCTGCGCATGTATTAGTCACCAGCTATGACGTCACCGGTGCCTCAACAGCCCCCATCGTAACACTGGCGCAGGCTCATTGATGGAGCCAGATTTACCGCTCCGTATCTCAGGCACCGCTAACTTAGCGACTGGTCGTCGGTAGACTCCTTTCGATGTACAGACCACCACCTACCTGATCCTGCCGTCGACTCCTCGCTTCACTTCTTCCACTATCGCTCGTACCCAGCACTTCCGCTTTGAAGACTATCTCGCTGGTTGAGGTGTGGAAGATACTCGACTAGCTATCGTTTCCACAGGCGATTAGCTTGTATCTGCGAATGCTCGTGGCTGTCTCGTAGTGCTTTGGCTTCGTCGCTAGGTGGCACGATACATTCAGTTTCGCTTTCCGGTTGCCCCTTGAGGAAACTGTTCGGAGTTAACGATCCAACATTTCCTACGTCTTGTGGAACGTATATCCTTGGCCTCAGCCAAGGTCGTGAGCAACACTTCATCCGTTAATTAACGGCCATCGTCCAATACCTTCATCGCATCCTTTACTGATCAGACCAGCCGTTCCCACACTCCACCGAAATGTGGCGCCGAAGGTGGGTTGAAATTCCACCGTGTTCGTGAACTCGTTAACGCTTCCGAACAATTTGCTTCTATTCTCTTCACAATCTCCTTACTCGCACCAACAAAATTTGTTCCGTTGTCAGAGAAATATTCAACAGTAACTCCCCGTCGACATACGAAACGTCGGATAGCCATCAGACACGCCTGCGTAGAGAGACTGTGAACCACTTCCAAATGAATAGCCCGTGTTCCAAAGCACGTAAACAACATACCCCAACGCTTCTCTGTATACCGCCCAACGACAACGATGATCGGGCCAAAAAGGTCCACTCCGGTGTAACTGAACGGTCGAAGGAAAGGAGTCGTTCACTGGTTTGCAAGTGGTGCCATCCTCGGAATCAACGGTTTACATTTGAATACCTTGCACCATACACATTGGGCCTTATTACGGGTGTCACTATACGGTGATAAGCAAGTGATAAGAGCCGTGATTGCCGTACAAAACAAATGGGAATCACTTCACCGTGACGACAAGTGACAAGTTTTCACCGTGAAGTGACATCCGTAATAAGCCCCATTGTCTCTTCACTTTGTCAAGTTCTCTGCGGACAGCAGGGATGTAAAAACGTTGCCTCAGCTCGTTCACCACAGTCTCCTTGTTAGCGTGACCGAAAAACTGATGGTAGTATTCGATCAACTTGACTGTTACGGGGTGCCCTCTTGGAAGAATCACCGGAAACTGAAGCTCGAACGGAACGAATGCTCCCATTTGCACTCGACCATCCATTCGCATTACACCGTATTCGTCCAACACCGGAGAAAGCTTGAAAAGTGGGCTGGACCGCTCTATTACTTAATTCTTCCCTTCTTGACATCTTTCCAAAACTCTCACTTCGTCAGCAAACGAACCTTCTTGGGCCATTTTCCACAGAAAACGCTCCGCCGCCTGATACTCCTCTCTTGATAACAATCGCGCCGTCACTGCTGCGGGCCGTTGAACCATCCGAGATCGTGAATCAACAGGTAACAACCCAATCGCCGATCCCATCTGCTTCCTACGAATGTTGGAGATGAAGCGGAGAACACAAGCGACCGTACGGAGCAAGATTTCGATTTGCGGCCACAGTCAATCAACGCCATTGTGCTTTCGACATTGTGAGACATCCAACTCGTGCGAATCTCCTCCTGCACGTTAGGCCGTGGTGGCTCTGGATCTGGCCACTTATCGTCCGTTTCGTATAGGAACCTCGGACCAGTAAACCATGGGCCAGTCGAGTCGATCTTGATCCCATCTTTCCACTTCGTCAGGTCATCCGCTAGGTTCAACCTTGTACGCACCCAACGCCATTCCGACGGACTCGTTTTGCTTAGTATTTCGCCGATGCTGTAAGCAACGAAGATTTTGTATCGGCGATGATTCGACACGATCCAGGAAATCCGTCCAAAAATATGTGCTTTTGACCGAAAAGCTGTGGTTCGCTTTGATGGTTTCAGCCAACTTCGCTCCTAAATAGTACTGCCGCCATCAGCTCCAAACGTGGAACCGAAAACTGTCTCAGTGGTTCTATCTTAGGCTTAGCTTGCACCAAGGA